GGCTGGGTGCCCCCCAGAGGCCCCTGCCAACCCCTGCCAGTCTGTGATTCTGTGCAAATAAAAAATATTTTATATAATTTTCAATAAGAATTTCCTTTATTCCCCTGGAGTTTGCTTTGTTAGGTAACTGGAAATCCATCCAGTTTCTTTTAACTGCACAACATTGCACGCTGCAAAACAGAGCAGCAGAGGGAGCGTCTGCTCCAAACAAAACAGACAGCAGGAGAAACGTTAAGGTGATCTTGGCTTGGAAAGAAATAACTCCAGAGGGAGTAAGGAGAAAGGCAGTGAGTGTCCCACTCCGCTGAAAGGGATTTTGTTAGGTAACTGGAAATCCATCCAGTTTCTTTTAACTGCACAACATTGCACGCTGCAAAACAGAGCAGCAGAGGGAGCGTCTGCTCCAAACAAAACAGACAGCAGGAGAAACGTTAAGGTGATCTTGGCTTGGAAAGAAATAACTCCAGAGGGAGTAAGGAGAAAGGCAGTGAGTGTCCCACTCCGCTGAAAGGGATCAGACAAGTGACAAGCGCGTGACAGCAAGGATGTGACACGTGAAAGACAGGAGCAGGTAAAGGAGCCGCCATTCTCCTGACCATCTCCGCGCAGGCTTTCAAAGCAGCTTGTTCCCCGCAGGTCTGAAGAATAAAGAGTTTCACTTTTCACAGACGTGTAGTTTAAAATAGTATTTTGGATTCAGGCTACTGACGTATGAGGAGCAAAGTCAGACCGCGCAAGCAAACCCGCGCTGGGCCAGCTAAATCCCTGTTTCCGACCCCGTGTATGGCTACAGAGCAGCAGGGCATGAAGCCGGCCTCGGCAGCTCGGGGTTTGTTGGGACTTGCATTATTCTGATCCACCATCACGTCTTAGGCCTTAAAAATACCTGCTCTGCATGCTGCTGTAGCCCAGCAGCAGCAACCCTCCCCACCCCTCTGAAGGGAAGCCATCCAATAACCGCAAAGTCAGAGGCAGGGAGGGCAACGGGTAGAACAGTAAGGAGATGGGAAGAGACTCCGGGACAGCACGAAAAGAAGCAGCTTCAGAGAGAGAAATGCAGAGTTCAGCTTTGCATTCTGTTATCCACATTGCTGCTGACTTACAGGGTCAGTCAAGCAGGGATTTATTTGCTTCTACAGATAGCCCACAAGCTAAACTGCAGTAATTAGACCTATTTTTAAATGAATCCTTTGGCTGCCCTTGGTTTTGCAAGAATGGCAATAATTAAAACAGTGGGAAATAATTTAATAATGAGAGGTTCTTCATACTGTAGTAGCATAAAGGTGTTTTACGTTGCTTTAAGAATGTCCAGCTGGGGAGAGCGTCTGTGCACCAATAGAACTCTCCCCACAAGGAGCTATTACACTGGTATGTCCATATAAATAAATAGGTAACCGCGTATTTTACCAACACGGAGGGTGCAGCAAATGGGTTTTTTAAATGCAGAGGGAGCACTGCAGATCACGCTGAGCGAAATGCAGGCTGCCATGCAAAAGGGAGGTCCCACGTGTCCCTCGCCCCTGCTGCCAGCTCTGCTTCCTCTCCCCGTCCCTCGTGCCAGCGTCGGGGTGCCTGGCGCTGCAGGATGAAACTGCAGCCCGTACGGCTGAAAGCTGTTATTTTTGCACTGATTTTTCTTTTTTTCATGGGTTAGATGTCAGCCAGGTCGGAACAGAGCACCACTTCTGACAGAAGAGACCTTTGTGGTTGGGATTGAGGGGGAAGAGAGAACTACCCCTTCTGGCAGCCCACGCTTCAATCAGATGAAGCTGGTCCTGAAACTACAGCTTGACGCAGGAATATCAACCAGTGAACCACTTTAATTACTAAACCGGGAGCCTTGAAAGCTTACGTATAAACATGCTCACAGTGATATGCTGCAGCTGAAGGAGACTGAAAATCATGTATCTCCATTTGATTTTTACTCTCTGACCAGCCAGTGATGTTCGTAGTAAGTGAGATGGGATGAATGTGATATTGATGTGTGGAACATGCTTAATCAGCTGCTTGCTCTTCACAATCCATAATCATAATTCCTCCTGAATGAGAAATCACTTTCTTAAATAATTTTACTTGTAAAATTTAAGCGCATAAACCGGTGATGAGTTTTGGTTCTCTTCCCCCTGCCCCATTCTGTGAACATAATACTGGCGTATTCACGCTGCGAGACACGAAGAGTGCAGCGTCTCGGACAGAGTGGATACAGTCTATGTCCAGAGCTTTACACTCGTCTCCGTCTTCTGTACCTTTTTCCAGTAAAGAGATGTAACAAGATGGACTTCCTTAAACGTTCTGGATTTCACTTCCCACTGAAATTTCAAAATCCCCTCGCTGGTTTCTGTAGCAGCTCTGTCCTTCCAACAGATCGCACTGAAGATCTAGCCACAGCTGTGAGGGACGTTCTCATGGCTCCACATCACCTCAGAGACAAACAATTTATATACCTTTCACAGACAAGAACAGACTAAAGAGATCGTTCAGAAGAGTTCTGCTACACTGACCATCACCTCAGAGACACACAATTTGTATACCTTTCACCGACAAGAACAGACTAAGGAGATCGTTCAGAAGAGTTCTGCTACACTGCAAGATTTTCAGAGGGGAATTGCTATCGCTGGAGACTCTCATGAGCTGTATGCTCACCATGAGCTGTATGCTCACCATGAGCTGTATGCTCACGAGTCCCAGAGGTCACCATCATCTGTCCACAGCTGGGCAGGCATGGGCTTATTCTGCCTTTCCTGTCCCCACATCTCCCACCCTACATGAGTCTTTATGAATATTCTCCTAGCTCTCCTTTCCTACAGTTCAGGCCCACATGAGTCTTTATGAATATTCTCCTAGCTCTCCTTTCCTACAGTTCAGGCCCATTATTTCTTATCCTGTGCTCAGGGAACATGCAGAGAGTTTATTTTCATCTGATCATTTATAAAGTCAGTTATAAAATGGTAGCCATTTTATAAGGAAAAACCTATTGTTACCATTTCTGTTCTTCCATGTTTAAGAGTTCTAGGTGAACTGAATACCAGGTGCGTGTCAGGACTGGAATTTTACTCACCATGTGCTGGTCTAATGATTATAATGTCAGGAATGCAAAAAGACAACTACAACAGAAAATTAATAATCCCTTTTGGGGCAGATGCAGTAAAACCATAAGTCAAATATTCGTCCTCTTCTCTAAGCCTAACCTTAAAATTTTAATATTAATAATGAATGGTAAGAGTGTGTTGGTGCTTTTCAAAATTCTTTGGACATCGTAAAAGCTAAAAGGAAATGCCCTGTGGGCAGATCACGGTGACCCTTAGCCCTGTTAGTAACCAACAGTTAGTAGACACCGGAATATGCTGCACAGCGAGTTGCACCAACACGTCACAAGAGCAGCGGGGAGAAAGTATTCCTAAAATAACAAACACACAACTGGGTACATCTCCCCTCCTCCACACAAGGAATTCACGGACTGTATTTATTATATGACTGAGTTGAGAGCTACTACAACAGCTACTATAGATATTATTTTTATCACATAGTATTTTAAGGTAATGAGAACAGCTGTTGGTTAGATAGTTACGGTGCTAAAACTCTGGTTTTGCTGATGGAGGTTGTTTCAACTGAGGGCATATAAAGAGAAGGTAATTTTGACAAACTAAGAAAAAGCACAGCTTGTTGACAGAGCTATGTCCATGTTACGAGTGCTCTTGCCAGTACAGCCCAGCAGTGCTTTTTTACCTCTCAATCCCTTCCAGGGTAAATACCGCCAACTTGCTCCCATGGCAAATGGCCTTGGGATGTACAAGTCCGTCAGCCTGTGTCCGGCTTGGCAGCACATCACGCTGGCCGGAATGCCTGGACTTCTTCTGGGTCTCTGAAGAATACATAAGGGGCAGCTTTTCATATCTGTCTCCTACTTCTGCCCTTCTCTACTCCACAGGAAATAACAATTCAACAGGCTTCATGAGAGACGTTCCTAGACTCCTGTTGAACAACAAACCCGGCCTATGCATGCCTGTATCCAAGCTCAGCAAAGAGGAGTCAGTTAGTACGCTTTGCACACATAACTTTCCTTGAAGGATATTTGATATCTGTTCCCGTTTTCTCTTTTCTGAGACAGACTGTGTGACTGCTGTACTTCGCACAGAACTAGGATAAAGTAAAAAATCCAACCGTGCCACTATATTATTTCCTATTTTTATATTCACTGTATATATTATTTCCTTTTTTCACTTCATCTTCTTACATCCAAGCTTCCCCACCTGCCAAATTAAGATATTAATATCTGACTGTTCCTACAGGTGGTGTAGGAGTCCATTAAGTTTGTGGCTTTACACCATCATGTTTACTAACTTTAAATAACACGATAAGAAGCAGCAGTTCTTCTGTATTTTGGGAAAAGTGTGACCGTGGCAGCAAGCCAGGTGTGTGTCCAGAATGATAGAAATTCATTTTTCTTAGGAAACACGTGGCAATATGGTATCAAACACAGCAAATGCAGTGCTCATGAGGAATACAAAGAAATACGTTGCAGAGGAGAAGGAGGCCAGAAAAAAATAATTTGAAAGTGACTTCTTGTCACAAAGTTAAATAAATATTCATGTATTAATTTGAAAAGTACATTTTGGGAAGCAGTTGCAAGAGTCCTGGACAGATTCTTTATAGTCACCAACAATTTGAACCTTGCTAATTGCTGCACTGTTGCTGCAGCTGTATAACCTCCGTGACCCACGACCCCCGTGACTCCTGGGACAAATTCTGCTTTGAATCATATTACTGCAATTCCCCTTTTTCTACAGCCTGAGAGTCTCAAATTAACGAAGATACAAACAGAAGAGAGGCACACTGCGTACTTCTTTGCAATGGCAAACAATTTTCTTATGGCTTAGTCACTGGTGAGTAAGAGTCATGCCACCGTATCTCAGCTTGTCCATGTACAATCTCTCTTTCTAGGTCCAAAATGAAAAGTTCTAATTTACCTAAAAGCATTACCAGCCAGCTGAAAAAGTCTGAAAACCCTCTGGCTCGTGCACAAGTTCAAGATTTTTATAAGGTAGGAAAATGCATGTGTTTAAAAATAGGGTTTTGCTATAGTGAAATAATGAATCTCATTATGCAGGTAGCAAGAGTTTTGATTAGTATTTTGCTCGCATGAGATTTGCAGTGGTTTAATGTTATTGCATCAGTAGAGATATTCCTGACTCTCAGTGAAGTAGCTGAGATGACATTTGCTTTTATTTAGAGTTACTCTGGAGCAAATTCTGGAGAAGAGCTCTCCAGATAATTTCTCCTTACACTGTGAAGACATGGTCTGCTCATTCTTCCACAAGACACTGTAAGGAATGTAGTAAGAAATTTTCCTTTCACCATTTGGACAATATTTCAGGAAAAATCCCAAGTGACTTGAAATACAAAATTTACAATTATGTTAATTGTCGTAGTTTTCCCTAAATAGTTCCTCTACCTAAGGAGAAAATATAAATTGCTCATTCGAAGACAGGCTATGTTTTTTCCATATGTTAATCACAACGCATTATATGACATAAAATCCTAGCAAAGAGCAGCAGTTCTAATGTTGTCAGATATCGTACTAGTTAAAAGTAAACCCTAAGCTTCCTTCTAAGTTTGAACTTGACCTACAGATACCTGTGAACGTATAAATCTCTCTTGTCTTTACCACAGCCATGGCTTTTCATTAATTAATCTTGCATCTGTGATGTACTGGGCTACCCAAGTGGATCAGAAACATGCATGTGGTAACATTCCTTCCACGTCAGCTAAAGCTGTGCTTATGCTTTGTCTTGGTCTATACTTTATCTTTATCTTGGTCTATGCTTTGTCTTTGTCTTGGTTTACACTATCTCTAGAAGGTCAG